GATGGTTTCTTGCCGTTCGTAACGCTGCCAATGGGAACTGAAGTTGTGATGAAGAGATTCTGTAGCTTGCTCTGAGAAAATGCCAAGACTAGAATTGTGTCTAAGGATGAAATCCTTCAGGTGGAAAAACACTGCATGTGCTTTGGGAGTGACTGAAGTATTTGGCAACTTCAGGTACGACTCCTGAAACTGTAAAATTTTTTGTTCAAAATCGGGGCTCAAGTGATTTCCAAAGCAAGCATTCACCACTGAGTCAAAATGTCTCAATGTTTCAACAAATGGCACAGCAAGAAAAAATGAGCTTTGCTCAGCTAAACTTTGAAGGCGATCAGTGTTTTTCAAGAGCTTGCGGCAGTCATTCCCTGCAAATTGGCCACCATGAAAAGACTGCTCTTGAATATGAAGGGCTGCTGGCCATTCCTTTGCTGCGGGCCAAATCTGGCATAAACTTTTGTAGAGATGGTTAACGACTCCAAGAAGCAGATGAAGTTCCATGGGAGGAATGATGTCCAAAATCAGTGTGTCATCTGGCAGAGTCATTATGGGTTCATGGATGACGTTTTTGAAGTGCTGAAAGTTTTCTCTGCTTTGAAACTGCAGAAAGTTTTCTCGAATTGAACCAAGTGTTCTGAGACTTCCAGAGCGACTCAAATCTTTTGATTCTGCATCACACCATGAACAAGGATGTGCACTTGCCAATTTGGACATGCCACGATTTGACAATCTAGTTCCAATTTGGACTCCAACCATGTCTTGTGCCGTGAGCTTGGGCACAGCAGGAAACAATTCTCTTGCACTTGATGGTCCTAAAAAACATTTAATGGCTGAGCTTAAAATTTTCTACATTTACATTTTAAAAGAAATTTATAAGTGGTTTATGCTTAAATCTATATTGCTTTACCTGGAACAACGGGAAAACGATTTCCTCCAAGTGGTTGACTTAGCCGAACAGTGCCATGAGGTGATGGAGTTTTATTAGCAATTGTTAATGATGCTACCCTCTCTGCCGCAATGCGATTCCTCGAAGCAACTTCCACTAAATTTTGCCTTAATGTTCCTGTTGTGCAATTGTGAGGCAATCCACGACCAATCACAGAGAAGCAATCAGAGCACCTTTTTTCAATGCTTGAATTTTCTTTGGGTTTCGGTGGTTCCAAAGGATGACGCTGATTCATATTTGTCCTTGCAGTTTGACAAATCAAACAATTACAAGGAATATTTGTTGTAGCACGCTGAACTGAGATGGTGCTGAAATCAAAGAGCCTTGGGATAGGTGCATCCTCCCCTTCTTCTCGTCTGCGAATAGCCACACGACATCTTTCACAAATTCCACAAGGGATTTGAAAATTTGAAAAATCAAGCTCAATTTTGAGGACTGTGCAAATTTTCTCCACTAAAAAACTTGTGATTTCTCGATTTGCCTTCTTCAAACATAGGAAACAAACACATTTTCGGTTTTTCTTCATGAGTTTTAGCTTTGTTAGGCATTTTATCAAACATTCAACGTGTCTTATTTAAAAAAAACTGAATGTGCACCCTTTTCCGGGAGTTAGCAAAATTGAAAAACAAACAAAAAATAATAATGATTTCAAAAAACCTGCTCCAATTAGTTATATAATGTCTTAAATAGTACTCTATCAAAAATGCTGTAAAAATGCCAAATTCCTATCATCTCATTTAATTTTGATATGCCAGAATTGAAGAAAATAAAAACTAAAATATCTCTCTCTGACGTCATAGTTCGATTTCCAAATTTATATCTAAGTGATCTACTATATGTGGGCCATCATCCCACCAAAGGGTTTTCTCGGGACATGAGGTTAAGGTTGATGGCCATTTCGTGACACTGTGCCTATCCACTTCGCGAAACTCCTGTTAATTGATCAAAAATGCATTCTGGGATGTCCTGCCGGACCTCTTCTGCAACAAAAACAAAAAGTTTTTTTTTTAATTAATAAACTTTGTTGCTAAATCTCTTATTTTCTTGTCACCAAACAAAGCCTACACAGTGTCACGAAATGGTCATCAACCTTAACCTCAATTTTGTATTCAAGATATCTCAATTTTGTAACATTAAGATGAAAAAACGTTTTGTAGAACAAAAAAAGTTTTGTAGAACATAAAGTTGGTGTAATTTTTTTAGAGCATAAAAGTATATTTTTATACATAAAAGTTATTACCATTATACATTAATTAAAGTATTAATATTATAAATTATAACATTACAAAGTCTTATTACAAAGAATTAAATTGAAAAAATAATATTATAATATACCAAATGATAATACATACAATTTTTTTGAAATTTTTTCGCTGGAACTGAATGATGTCAACTGGTGGTTTCCTTTTAGAATCAAGAAGTGGAGGAGGATTTGGGATGTTAAAAATAGTAGGAATTGCTGATTGTAACAAACGTTTTCCACCATTATTTGTAGAATAATACATTGTACTTTAAAAATGATTACTGCACAAATAAATGTTTTTGTTTAAAAATACAAAATCTTTTTTTTCTAAATCTTTCCTAAGATGATATCCTACTGCTTACATCTAAAAATTAAACAATAAAAGAATATGTTTTAATATACTACAATAATATATTTTAAAATACTTCAATAATATGCTTTAAAATACTATAATAATAATTTTATAAACTTTTAATGAAAAAAAAGTTATTATAAATAATATATGAATTAGCTTGCCTTTTATCATCTTTAGGAAAATGAAAAAATGAAATACCTTAACAGTTTTAACACAGTTTATAGCAGCACAAAATGATGGCATTGTTATAACTAAGATCAAAATTTTTTAAGGTACATACAAAAATAACTATTCGCTACTTTTTTTTTATTACTGTTACTTCCAATCCTAGTGCATGAACTGGATTTTTGCAAAATCATCAATAGTCAGGGTAGGCAAAAACCCAGGTTTTAACCAAAAACCCAACCCAGCTGGGTTTTTGGGTGGGTTTTTGATGGGTTTTTGCTAAAGTTTGGTATAAATCTTTAGTAATCAAAGTTTGATTAATTTATAGTTTATAATATAATAAAGTTATTTTTCATTTTTTACAGGTATATTTTCTTATACAAAAGCTTTATTAATAATCAGATTGCATTTTTTTATAATATAAATCTATTTTTAAATAGAGTTATCTTTTTAGTTAAATTTAAAATATAAGTAGATTATACGTCTTCAACATGCCAAAGTATCATTCAGGGGGAAGAAATAAGGCTAGTGAGTGGAATGAAGTGACCATATTAAGTGATCAACCAAATAGAGTAATATGTAATTATTGCAAAGTGAGCATAATTAAAAAAATAGAAAGAGTTAAGATCCATTTGGATAAATGCAGAAGAAAGAATAAACGAAGCAATAATAATTCCGCTGAAGTGTTAAGTGATATATCAGTTTTAGAGTCAAGGCCATCTACATCTGCAGCATCAAATAAGTCTAGCCTGTCTGATGATAATGAGCAAGATGGTTTAAGCTTTATTATTGATTCTTTTTATTTGTCAATTGTTCAGTCAACTGCAATGACGATGCAACAGCAAACATCTATTTCTAAATTTGTTACTACAACAACAAGTAATCAGAAGGATGAACTGGATTTACAAGTTGCAAGATTTTTCTTTTCAGCAAATATACCATTCAACGTAGTAGAAAATCTTAAATTTACCAAGCTGCTTAAAAAACTTAGACCTGGATATGAGCCACCAAATAGAAAACAGATATCTTCAGAACTCTTAGTAAAGATAAATGAAGAAGTAATCAATTTAATGAAAAATGATCTTGCTGATGATAGTGCTGTTGCCCTAATTCAAGATGGTTGGAGTACATTCAGTAATGATCCTATAATTGCTCATAGCATCCATAGTAAAAATAAACCTTATCTCATTTCTGCAATTGACACAAGAAGCCAATCAAAAACAGCAGAATATTGCGCTCAAGCTGCTAAGGATGCAATTAAAATTGCTAAAGAAACGTTCAATAAAGATGTAAGTGTTAGATGTTTAATTGCTTTATTTAATGTATATATATATATATATATATATATATATATATATATATATATATATATATATATATATATATATATATATATATATATATATATATATATATATATATATATATATATATATATATATATATATATATATATATATATATAAGGCCTCTAAGGAAGAACGATTTTAATAAAATGATTTTTGGGGTGATTTTAATTCGTTGAACTACATGATGGTGTTTTAAATCTTAAAAATTGATTTTCTCAAAACATCAAAAGTGTGACTCTGATCGTTCTTCCGTTGAGGCCTTCATATATATACACATATATGTTTCATTTTTTATTTAGGTATTTGCAGTATGCACTGACAACGAAAATAAAATGTCTAATATGAGAAAACTTTTGCAGGCTGAAGCTCCTAAGTTGATAACATTTGCTCTGCTCATTTTTTAAATTTGGTTGAAAAGGATGTCTCTCCAAAGTCTATAGAAAAGCATATTATAGCAATTCATAAATACTTTCGTAACCATCACCAACCACATGTATGTATTAAATTCTTTACTTATTGATCATATTCTGTAATACAATACTATGAAATAACACAGCTGTGTTAATGATATAAGCCTAATGATAATGATGGCAAAAGAGATCCTAGCTTTATTTTAACAAAATTATTTTTTAATATTTCTTTGTTAAATTTTCTTAAATAAATTTATTATAGGGTTGGTTATTGGAAAAAGGTGGACTGATGCCACAGCTACCTAATGATACTCGCTGGAACTCCCAACTAGATTGTTTACAGACATACATATCTAATCATTCTCTGTACGTTGACATTAGAGTTGAGCATATGGAATCCATTGATCCTTCGATAGGAAGCCTAATTGACAATCTATCAATACAAAGAGAAGCAATAAATTTATATGCACAACTGAAAATTTTGGTGTTGCGTAAGATAAGGTTAATAAAATTAGTTATTAATTGGATTTATTAAATTTAATTATATTAAGTATATTAAAACCACTTATATTAGGAACAATGTCACCATTAACTTTATTTACCTAATTATTAGCAAAATTATTGTGTTTACTGTAGTTGCAAGCAGACAATACAACTTTGTCTGAAGCAGTTGAGATTTGGCAAAGCCTCATACATAATGAAAAATTGGCTTTGTACAAAGATGATATTTTAAAGAGGTTCAAGAAGGCAATTGTTCCATGTCATTTTCTTGCCAATTTAACAGATCCAAAATATGAAGGTAACTAAACAATTGTAAAAAACTTAAAGTATTGCATCTGATTAATTTTTAATAAAAACAAATGTAAAGTTTTTATTCAAGTTTACTACTCTTATAACTTTACTTATTTACTTAGGAAGAACATTGGATAGAAGTCAAGAAGAAGAAGCTGAGGAATGGTTGAATGAAGTCTATCCTGAATTTATGCCAGGCTATTATGCGTTTAAACTAAAAGATGCTAATTGTTTCCCAACATATTTATTCAACGATAGTGTTAAAAGCACAACATCAGCAACAAATTGGTGGAGAATTATAGAAATGAAAGAATCTAAGTCTTCCAAATTGCCTGCAAATTTTGCAAAATTTTTACGGCAGTTGCACACTTGTCCAGCTAGTACTGGATTCATAGAAAGATTTTTCTCATCTTTTGGAATTATTTGGAGCAAAATTAGAAATCGTTTAGGAAGAGAAAAAGCTGAAATGCTTGTACGAATTTACAGACATTTAAGATCAAGATGCACAATTGCTGATGACTTTTAGATTACTTTGTTTTAAATGATTAAGCTTGAATATTATTGCTCCAAGTAAAATAAAATTCTTGTTTATGACTTACTAAACTTCATTTTTTGTTGTTAGTTGAGCAGCATCAAATCTTGTGTGTTAATGGAAATTGATTTATGAACAAAAAAATTAAAAATTTAAGACCAAAAACCCATAAAGTTGGGTTTTTGGTCTTGGGTTTTTGGGTTTGGGTTTTTGGGTACCAACCCTGATCCTAGTGCATGAACTGGATTTTTGCAAAATATTATGTTTTACGTAAAAGCCCCATTTCTTCAAATGCGCCACCAGCTTTCTTCCATTTCCATTGGTTGCTAAGGTGTTATCAATGTATCCTCTTGTTGATTTAGCAAGTGAAAAATTTTTTTGGCAAACGTATTGTAGTATTGAGCTCATCATCACAGGTGCTAGGTTCAAACCTAAACCCAAAAATGTAAGTGCAGATTGTTTGAGGTATGCTCTTTTTAAATAAACCACTAAGTTGTTGCTATTTTTACTCAGCCTCCAATCCCTCATTGAATTGGTAATGACATCTGCATCCCTTGTAGATACTTTTACATAGGTGTTAAGTTCGCATTAATCAAGCACCGGTCTTATTTTCTTTTTATTATCTTGAAGACACACATCAACGGTAGTAATTCTTTAACTTTTCCCATAAATTTGTCGTCATATTTCATAAGTATGTCTTCTTATTTCAAACGTTTCCAGTTTCGCTACTAAATCTGTTTGAAACATCTGGCACTTCAGGTGCTGTTAATTCTTATATGGTCTTGTAAATTTTCAATGACAGAGCAGCAAGCAAGTACGCTATGAATGAATATTGTTTACCATGAAGAAAGAAGTCATCTGCCAAATAAATCGCTTTAGCTGTTCATCTTCATATTGCAGAGATAATAGACATGGATAGTTGGCTTGTTGTTCAACACATTTAAAAGCCATTTTGTTTCTCAGTTTTTAAATACTTATAAACAACCTCAACATTTTAACAACAAAATTGTTTGCTATATATAACATTAAAAAAAAAAAACTTGTGACTCTTGTCAACAATTACTGATCATTATACAAAACATTATTATAATAAAAATATGCAACGTGTAACTTTTGTCAGTGATTAGCAAAGTTAATTGACAAAATCACAACTAAAAGCTTGTTGGGATATTTGATAGTAAATTTTATTAACAATAAGTAAGCAACTATGATGTAATAAGCTTTTTTTTTATAAAGTTTATGTTATTATTTACAAAAAAAATCCAAATATATGTAGGTAGTTAGCTCAAGGCCACAAGCAAAACACAGTAAATTCAAATCGCTACTACTTATTCACAGTAAGAAAATGGGCAGCTGCCAAGCAAAAAAAAAATACTGTCAAAATTTACTAGACACTCCAGTCTTAAATTTGGCTTTGTTTTTAGGTATTGCAAACAAGTTTACAACATTAAATGCATATTAGTAAGTGTATACAGGTTTACAACATGTTCTCTCATTTAATGAGACAGATTTTTAAATATGCACTTTACAAGCCATATAGATAAGAATCAAAATCATTCTTATCTATCTTATCTACAAGTTTTTTAAAAAAATTATAATTTAAAAATATGTTAAATCAATACTAGTTTACAACATTTATATTGTCTTGCCAATTTTGAATAACTTAGCTGGCATGAAAATGTTTTTTATGTTTTTTTTTATGTACAAAATTGTCTGAGCAACCCTTGAATTTTAAAACAGCTATTTTTGTTTAAAAAACTTACGTATGATACCTCAGTAATTATTATAGAAACACTAAAAAAAAAATTATATTTTATTAATTTATTGAACATATAATTTTAAAACGTAAGAAACAACTTATACTTATATATATATATATATATATATATATATATATATATATATATATATATATATATATATATATATATATATATATATATACAATTTTCAATTGTTTAACGCTTAGTTGTTAGGAATATGATTAAGTGTTGAATTTTATACATAATAATTACAGTTAATAGAAATGAGAAAAGGTAATAAAAAATGAGAGCCGTGTTAAAATCATCTTTTTAATAATTACTAACTATACCTTACTTTTTAATACTAATTTAATAGAATAATAAAGCTGATTTTATTTTAAACAACTATAACATAAACAGTTGGTGATCAAAATTTTAGCATGCAACAAAAGTAGGTAGCAATTATATATGCATATTTTCCGTCTGTTGTAAGTCAAAAACCTTCTAGGTCTGCAGTATAAATAATTTTAATAATCTATTTTTGGTGCATGCTAAAGATTGCTAATGTTGTACTAAAATTTCTAATCACATGAACTGACTTTTATTAATGAGTTAAGTAGACAACATTTTGATCAATATAACATATTTTGTTTTAGTTATGTATGCATACTATCTATGAAAGATTTTAATTCTATACAGATATAATCAATATAGAATAAAATTTATAATTAATATTCATACAGCCTATCTTATATCAATATTATAGAATATAACAGTATAAATAGAACAAAAATGTATAAATGATAAACATTCATTTCTTCTTATTATTATCAATATTATGAATATGATTATAGATATATTTATTATAAATGTGATGTCATTATAAATTATAATGACATCACAAATATAAGATAGATCTTATATTTGTGATGTCATTATAATTTAAAAATTTAAAATTTAAAAATTTAAAAAGTTATAGATTTAAAAAGTTATAGATCTATAACTTTTTAAATCTATAAATTTTTATATATCTTAATGTAAATGTAAACATGGACTTCTATAACCTTATATAAGGTTATAGAATCTTATATTCTTATATTTACCTCAAAATATATTATAGTATATTACCTTATATATATTACCTTATAATATATAATAATTATTATTACCTTTCAATATATTACATTTAATATATATATATATATATATATATATATATATATATATATATATATACATATATATATATATATATATATACATATATATATATATATATATATATATATATATATATATATATATATATATATATATATATATATATATATATGTATATATATATGTATATATATATATATATATATATATATATATATATATATATATATATATATATATATATATATATATATATATATATATATATATATATATATATATATATATATATATATATTACCTTATAATATATAATATATTGTAATATATAATTTCCTTACAATATATAGAAGTCTTATATTTACCTTCATTCAAAATAAATATAATTATATTTATTTTGAATGAAGGTAAATATAAGATTTTGTTATAAAAGAATTTTTATAATCTTTTTTCATCATATAAGAATTATTATAATTAATAGAAAAACTCACCATTGTAATTTATTATTTTTCAAATTTAATAAACAAGTTCTGATAAATTTTAAGTTCACCAAACTAGTTGCTATTATAAGAACGCGCGTTGTTTTTAAATTTAAAACAAGGTTTAGAAATTAAACCTACTAAAACAACGCAGTCTTAGAGTCCGGCTAACGAGATGTTTTAAAATCGGACTCTGCGAAACTCAAAATTTTTAACCAATCAAAACAGGGATCGATCTCAGGAAATAGCCGTTCGTAAAATTATAGGTAAACGCAATGTTTGTTTTGATTGTTACAAACACTGCCTCGCTTTGAAGAATCTCCTTTCTCCGTCGCAGATATTTATGAAAAGGTCTATAGAATAAAGTGTATTTAGTTTTATTTACATTAAAAGATACTTTATTCATTTAAACCATTGGGTTAGTTTATCAAGTTCTTTGTTTACTGTTTGAAATGATATACTGATATCTTTACCGGTTGCAAGTTGTAAGTGGCAATTATAACTAGAGTTTCCACGGTTTTCAATACCGGTATTGGAAACCGGTATTTAACTAAATTTTTTCAATACCGAAACCGTTTCCCAATACCGGTTTTTTACGGTTTATAAAATTTTATTAATTTGAGCCTAATAAAGAAATTTGCACTAAACTAATTTTTGTGTTTGAATTTTGTACATGAATAACACAAAATAGAAGTTATTTTGTTATGCTGTTTGCAAACCACAAGTTGGTAAAAAAAAAATTGTATACTTTTTGGTATTGTAACTATTCCAACACTACGATTCCCCTTGAACAATTTGTATAATTATTTTTGGAAAATATTAATGATTGCAACATTATAATTCCCTTGGATATTATTTCCAAATGAATAAGTTTATTTTAAACAAAAATTGACAGAATTTGGGTTAGATTTTTCATGCATAATTGCGCCTACTCACAATGGTGCTGCAGTAATGCAAAAAAATGGACGGATAAATTCTGTAGAGAGTCAACTGTGCCACAATCACGGTATTCATCTAGCCATAACCGATGTTTTTTACAAAAATTTACGTAACAGCGACAACCGAGTGACGAATCAAATGAAGAAGATGCCGATGAATATGATGTTGTAAACAATTCCAAAGAACTTCTTTTTAATCTTACTTTGGAAGAAGCTAATAATTCAGATTCTGATTATAATGACAATGGTTATCTTAAAAGATTGAATCGCAGCAACATTTTTAATGATACCATAGAGAAAACTGCTCCTGGAAGCAGCAACAGAACATTTCGAGTTGATTCGAGTCTGTATTAAATAATAATTAAACTGATTAAATTTTTTAAATTGTCAAGCGTTTGTATCTCCATATTGCGAAAGCATGTTTTCAAACAAGAAAATAAAAAACAGATGCTAAAACTTGACATTAAAACTCGGTGAAACTATTTGGTTCCCATGATTGAAAGGTTGGTAAAATTGAAACCATGCATTCATAAAGCTGTTTTGGACATAAGAATAATTAGTTTTTATAAGGACGTCAATTTTAAAATTTCAAAATATATTTTAAAAGTTTTAAAACCTATTGAATTGGCTGTTAAGGAACTAAGTAAGGCTAATTTAACTATTCTGACCAGTGAAGGTGTTCACATGTTTTTGTTCAAAAATCTATCTGAACAAACGTCTAACTTAAGTGTAGTGATGCTAGATTCGAGAAAAAGCGATACGATGAGCGACGCAACAAAGATTTTGCGTCACTAATGAGATATTTGCAAAACCGCAACTCAAATACGTCACAAAATAACGATGGCTTTAAATATTCATCAAAGTCAGCAATTATTCAACATGCAAAAAATATAGTTAAACAAAATTTTACCAAAGTATTGGATAGTGTCAATGTTGAATAATCGGATGAAGAAGTTACTGAAGAAGCCAATATTAACCTTAAGACACAGTTACAACAATCCCTAACAATGATGGTTTCTTTCCTAGATTATACTCATTTTTTAATTCCTTTAACCGTTTAAATGAGTTTCAATTTGGATTTTATTCAAATCACTCTACTTGCCACGCTTTAATAAGTAAAACTGAAAAAATAAAAAAGGCACTGGATACTGGTCATATCGGAGGTGGTGTTTTTATTGACTAACAAAAAGCGTTCGATACCGTTTAATTTCTAAACTTGAACATTACGGAGTCCGAGGAGTTTCTTGTAACTGGTTTAAATCTTATCTTTCAAATCGAAAGCAGTTTGTTAGCATTAATAGTTACAAATTAAATAAAAAACATTTAGTTTGTGGTGTTCCCCAGGGTTCTGTTCTTGTTCAATTAATAAATTGATACAGCTCAGTGCCAATCAATCCGAATAATTAATTTTCGACTCCATAATACAAAAACTTCAAAATTCTTCAAAAAGCTCCAAATTCTTACCTTGTCAACACTAGTTAAATTTGCTAATCTTCTTTTTGTTTTTGACTCCTTTAATAAAATTTACCTTCCTCTATTACAACCTTCTTCACTGAAACTCGATTTATACATTCATATTTAACTAGAAACATCAATAATGGAAAACTAAATGTACCTCCCTATAAAACTTTGAGGTATGGTAACTATTTGATTTCACATCAGTACATCAGTGAATGGAATCGAAGTCTTGTGTGCATTGTGAATGAGTTTGAAAAATTAAAATTTCGAAATAATTTATCTTCATTTCTTTATTTAAAATAAAATAAATTTAAACAAATTTTAAAAAAATATTTTTTTTAATTTTTTATCATTATTAACCTTCTTTAGTGTTAATAGCTAATTTCTAAACGCTATTTGATGGGTCTGGCAATGTTGTCGTGTGGCTGAAAAAAGTCAAGCTGGTCGGAGAGCTTCAAAAGATGGGCGGTCTGTCGTTAATAATTCCGTTGTTTCTGGAAGGAGATGCATTTGCTTTGTATGAACAACTTAGCGAAAACAAGAAAGATTGTTGTTGAAAAGCCTTTCAACAACAATCTCTGGAAGTCATAAAAACAATAATAGAAAATTTGCCTCATGATTCAACTGTTACAATTGCGGCAAGCCTGGGTATGTTGCTCGAAGCTGTTTTGCAAAGAAAGAAACTGTTACTAAAGGAATACAATGCTTTCGATGTGGAAAAACTGGACACATTGCAAGATTTTGCTCCTTGCAACAGGGAAACGCAAGTGGGAAACCTCCAGCGCCAGCTGTTTCCCTCGACAACTAACGGCACTTCCGATATGCAGTGTGCATGTGAACACATATGCAGGAAAAGCACTGGTTGATAGTGGATGTACTCGAACCATTATTTCAAAAAAAATGGCTCAAAATTCAGGTGTTTGCGTCAAAAGAAACGAATTCATGGTACTAGCTGTAAATGGAGAACTCGTGAAAACAGTGGGAGATGTTGAGATGGTGTTGATGCTGTTATTGGTATGGATATTATTAATCGTTGTGGAGGAGTGCACCTATACAATGGAAAAATTGAATTTTGTTTCAATTCACACAGAAAAACAATTTGTTGATATAAAGGACAAGGACTTTGACGCTAATTTCGATGGCATGAAATGGACTGCTAAATATAAATGGAAACAAGATGAACCACAACTGAAGAACTTTGTCACGCAGTACAAAGTAAAACCCAAGTTGATACATCAATTTAACGAAGAGATGGACTTATGGGTGGAAAATGGTTGGCTGAAAGCATGTAAAATAGGTGAAAATAATAAAAAAGGGATTGTCCCTTTAATGGCAGTTAAACAAAAAAATAAAGGGAAGATACAACCTGTCTTGGATTTTTGCAAATTGAACCAATACGTTAATTCACATAACGCTTCAAGTGATGCCTGCGATGAAACATTGAAGAGATGGAGAAGAATTGGTGACAAATTTGCACTGCTTGATCTCAGATGCGCCTACATGCAAATACACATTGATCCGGTTTTGTGGAAGAATCAGAGGGTAGTATTGCATCTACAAAGAGATGCAATACCATCTTACACGACTCGGATTTGGGTTAAATTCTGCACCAAAGATTATGTCGTCAATCTTAGACAAAGTGCTAAGTCTTGATGCAGGTATTGGTGAAGCAACTGACCATTATATCGACGACATAATCGTTGATTTGAAAAAGACATCGGTTGAAAATGTCGTAAACCACTTGGAACGGTATGGTTTGTAACAAAAGAGCCGGAAGAATGTGATGGTGCACAAGTTTTGGATTTGCAAATATTCACAAACGATAAAAAAGTGCTTTGTTGGAAACGCGGCAATATCATTCCAAAGTCAGAAGACATCGAAAATGAAAAAGTTACACGTCGGAGATTGTTTTCAATATGTGGTCACTTGATTGGACACTATCCGATTGGAAACTGGCTCAGAATTGCCTGCAGTTTTACAAAACGTTATAGTCAAGGAGATGCTTGGGATGACCTAATAGGAGATCAAGCACAGTCATGGTTGGTCGAAATATTGTGCCGTTTGGAAGCTAGTGATCCTGTAAAAGGGACATGGAATGCTGATGGTATTCAAAATAGAGCAATATTGTGGTGTGATGCTAGTAGTATTGCAATGGGTGTTGCAATCGAATATAACCGCGTAATAGTTGAGGATGCAGCATGGCTACGAAGTACAAATGATGTCATGCATATTAATATGGCTGAATTAGATGCTGTGGTGCGTGGAATAAACCTAGCTGTTAAGTGGGATATCAAGAACCTATCGATATTTATTGACTCGGTAACTGTTCATAAATGGTTAAAAAACGTGCTGACTGAAAGTCATAGGGTTCGGTCAAATGGACTATCAGAAATGCTAATCAAACGAAGACTTTCATTATTGCGTGATTTAATAAAGGAATACAGTATGAACATCATAGTGAAGTGGGTTCCGTCTTCTAAAAATAAAGCAGATGTATTAACAAGAGTTTCAAAAAAGTGGTTAAATGAAATTTCACGAAAAAATGTTAAAGAATTATGTGGGGTAAATATTGCCGATGAAATTCGTAAATGTCACTCGAAACATCATTTTGGCGTTAATCAAACAATGTTTACAATACAACAAAGAATCCCGCAAGTGTCGAGAAAGTGTCGAGACAGTGTGCGCAAATGTCGTTAATGTAGTTCAATTGATCCAGCACCAATAAAATGGGAACATGGAGTGCTAGATGTACCAGATACATGGTATCGTATTGCATGTGACGTAACTCACTATAAAGGGTCACCGTACCTAACAATGATTGGCTGTGAACCAAGTCGATTCGCAGTATGGAGAAAGATGCTACACGAAGATACAAAGAGTATGTTAATTCAATTGGATTCCGTATTTAGGGAGCATGGCCCGCCACACGAACTAATGATGGACAATGGAACTGTGTTTAGATCAAATGAGTTGTCAAACATGTGTGCAAAATGGTGTGTGCAAAAGATGTATAGATGTGCATATAGACCATCAGGAAATGGAATCGTGGAGCGTAACCACCTCACAGTAAAACGCACATCTGCGAGGGCACAGATATGTCCGTTACAAGCGGTATTTTGGTATAATGCAACACCAATGATTGGAACGCAAGAAGATGCTTCTTTAAAAAATAAGTACGTCTGGTATCTACCGATTCACAACACAGAAAGTCACGAAAGACCACAAAAGGACTCGGCAACCTATAGAATTGGAGAACAAGTTTATGTTCGTCCTGTTGGTGCAAAGTATACAACGATTTGGAAAATTGGTAACGTGACCAATATGCTCTCAAAAACAAATATTGAAATTGATGGCGTACCACGACATGTGAGAGACGTGAGAATGATTCCTGAATCATATGGTGAGAAAGTTTCAAGAATGAATAGTGTTGAAGAAAATGAAAGCGACGAAAGTGAGTTCGACGATTTACATATTGCAAGAGACAAGGAAGTTGAAGAGTCAGTTGATGAAGAGTCAGTTGCTGACGAAGAAAATGACGGTATTGAAGTCATGGATAATTTATTACCGTTGCTCAGACGTTCGACTAGAGAACGGAGAAGGCCGACTTATTTAAATGACTATTTACCTTAAGAACTTAGTTCTTGGGGAGATGTTAATAGCTAATTTGTAAATGCTATTATAATTTAATAGCGTTTACAAATCCTTAGTGTAAATATGTTGTAATTTCTTTTTTACTTTTGTTTGTACATAAATATCCCAAGGGAGCTTTTGTTGTTGACGAAAAAATGTATAAAAATTGTAAATATTATGAAAAAGAACAGAGTTCTTAAAAAGTAAAGATAGTTGTTGTTTTACATTTAGTTCTCTTTTCTTTTTATTATAATTTTTTTTTTTTTTTTCTATAGTAACTTTATTATTTTTGTCATTAATATTTATTACTTTATTACTGCTGTTTTAATTATTACTATTATTATTACAATTATTATAAATGCTGTTGCTATTGCTGTTACTTTTAAAAGTAACAGCAATAACAATAGTATTTATAATAATTGTAATAATATTAGTTATATAAATAATTTTATTAATTATATATTATTTATGTTAACAATTTACACCAAATAATTATATTAATAATAGTAATTTAAAAAATAATAATAACAATAAGAACTTTATTCATTAATAGAGCAAATTTGCTCTATTAATGAATAAAGTTCTTATTGTTATAATTTTTTTTTTAAATTACTATTATTAATATAATTATTTGGTGTCACTTCTTCGATCAGGATTCTGCATGAGTGACTCCTTCCTTAATCAATTATTTATATTTATTCCTAATAATTATATTTTGATTTTATTATTTATAATATTACAGATATTCTTATTCTTATTACTGTTACTATTGTTATCATTATTGTTGTCATTATTATTATATTATTATAATTATATGATTGTAAATTTTGAGGAAAATAAATATCTTGTTGTTGTTTGTTGTTGTTTTCCAACCCAAGATTAGTTGTTCTGATTCATTTTAAGAGATAATAAGTGAGTTTAACTGTTTTTGTATCAAGTGGAGTTTGAACATTGAATTTAAATAAGATTGATACTGCTCTCAAAACAATTCAGCTTACGTCATCATCCAGCGAAAGAACTTTTTCAAATGCTGGTAACTTTTTAATTAAGCTTCGAAGATGAATTTTGATATATTAAATGCATTAGTGTTTTTAAAATACTTTTTCCTGGAACGTTAAATTATTGAGTTATTACTGTTTGATAAAATATTTTTAGTATTTGAAATTTTTATATTTTAAAAAGTAAAATAAAATAAAATTGAAAAAGAAAAATGCGTAACTTTTATATTTTCATAAAGTTTTCTAAGGATTAGGCTATAAATACTGCGCAAAACCGGTTTATACCGGTATTAAACTATTTTGAATACCGAAAACCGGTATTATAATTTTCCGGTATTTTGGTAACTAATTGTAACAGAACTTATCAAGTAATTAAAAAATTTTGTACTTTTTTCAGAAAATAAATAGAGCCGAAAGCATTATTATTATTATTATTATTATTATTATTATTATTATTATTATTTTTAATGCAAAAGCATTAAAGCACTAAAAGCATAACTAACTTGCAACCGGTAAAAAAAATAATTAAAAAAATAAATTTTTTATCAAAATCCATGTTACAAAGTTTATTTATGATATTAACTTTCTCTCAGAAGGGAAAGTGTATGTGTGTAATTTTTATTTTTTTTTTGGTTTTTTGTTACTGTAGAAAATGTAAGCAGTTATTGTCAGCTACTTTATGTATTAAAACTTATATAAAACAATATGATATATTATTTTCTTGTTTATATATTTACGTCTCTACAATAAAATATTTATAAATTACGATTTTATAAAAATGGGGTACGGTGAAAATACGTGTCTTCTTCTTGCTCCAGCTATTTATTTTATTGTATATGTATCTATATGAAAACTGTATTTATAGTAAAAGGAGAAATAAACTTACAAACAAACAAACAAACAAAAAAAACAAATAACCTTGTTGAAAGTAAACAAGTTAAAAAAAAAAGCTCTATAAGCAAATATTTCTTGCTACGTAAATCAATTTCAAACATCTGGAGAAAAAAACTGACATGTTGTCTTTGCAGGGGCGAGGAGGCATTGATAAATATTTTTTATTTATTGAGCTTTAAAAGCAAAACAATAGTTTTAGAAGCTACTTTTTCAATTTAGGACTTAAGAGGTAATACTTGCAAAATTTAATATTATTATTTAATTTTAATTATTTATTTGATGAACTTAATTATTATTCTTTGATTTTAAATAATAATAGTAATACAAACTGCTGTAATGACTGTCGTCGCGGAGCATAAAGTTTAAAAATTATTTATCGTCAACCTCAGTATTACCTTGTTCTGTCAACAAATGTAATAAATACATTTTTCTATCTAATATGTAAAATAAATACAAAAAAAAAAAAAATACAATGCTCTATGTAATATAATATTATATCAAGTAGAACTTATTATTTACTTATATATATATATATATATATATATATATATATATATATATATATATATATATATATATATATATATATATATATATATATATATATATATATATATATATATATATATATATATATATATATATATATATATATATATATATATATATATATATATATATATATATATATATATATATATAAATATGTAAGTTGATTTTAATAAAAAAGGCAGCGTATAACTATTTTTAAATATATTTTGATGTAAAAATATATCAACGATATTTCGCTGACTAATAATCTTATTAAAATAACCAAAAACTATTTAGACGGCATTTCAAAAAATACTACATCTAATCAGTTAGATCAAAAGTTTGTTAAACTACCTTGGATACCTATTATTGGCCCAAAACTCCGAAGAGAATTTAAAAAACAAAACATCAGAGCTATATTTACTTCAGCTCCTAGTTTGAGTAATATATTATGCAACAACAAAACTAAACTACCTCCGAACTCAAATCCGGGGGTTTACCAACTTAAATGCTCATGCGGAAATATATATATTGGTGAGACCAAAAAGAAAATCATTTCAAGAAGTGCAGAACACCAAAGAGCTTGCAAAAATCAAAAATGGTCGAGTTCAGGAGCCACGGAACATTCCAAAACATGCCGTGGTAACTTTGATTGGCTAAATCCTAAGACCTTGGCAGTCGTTCAAGAATACAAGATACGAAAAATTAGAGAATCTCTGGAGATTAACAAAGCGAAAGTTCGATGTGAGATAGGTATTGGGGAAGGTGTTCTAAATCGAGATGACGGGGATAAGGTTAAAACAAGAACTTGGGGACCCATTTTGACAAAAATTTAACTGACGTCATTATTATATTTAATTGGTTTTTATATTTGACGCTTTTTAATGTCTTCTTTTTAAACGGTTTGTTTTTATGTTATTTTGTAACGTTTTTTATTATTACCTGATGACGCTGACCACAATAGGTCAGCGAAATATCGATGATATATTTTTACATCAAAATATATTTAAAAATAGTTATACGCTGCCTTTTTTATTAAAATCAACTTACATATTAAATATATATATATATATATATATATATCGTATAACAAGAAATGACTTTTAAAGATATATATATATATATGTGTGTGTGTGTATATATATATATACAAGGCCGGCGCGATAGGGGGTGTGGGGGTGTGACACCCCCCATCAATGATTTTTAGTCGGCAAACTGGACCCTTAGTCGGCAAATTGGACCCTTTTAAACTAGTTAGTCGGCAAATGTGGCCCCTTTCGATATAGGTTAGATAGTCGGCAAATGTCGTAATGGTAGTCGGAAAATATTGGAAAACGAGGACCTTTTTTTTTTTTTTTTTTTTAGTCGGCAAAAGTTGTAATGACACCCCCCCCCCCCACGTGACACCTACTCGCACTGGTCCTCTATATATATATATATATATATATATATTTGTATTTATTTTATTTATATTAGATAGAACATTTTATTTATTACATTTGTAGATAGAACAAGTCTAGCTTCAATGCATTTCAATGATCACTCTGTTCTTAAAATTGTCTCAATTATTTGCGAATTCAGAGTTCAAATTCGTAAATAAAAAAGTTGTCTCAGAATTATTTTTGTGAAAAATAAAGAAAAAAGCTTAATAATATTACGTTCTTTTTTTTTTTTATCGTATCTGAACTTGCGTAAAAATATTTAAATTGCAAAAATTGGTCAAATTATTTTTATAATTTGATATCCGAATAAGAAAAGACTTTGTTTGAGCATAATAAATATTTTGCTTTGTTTGGGAAAGGAAAAGCAAGATATTTTAAAACAGGGAAGTCTTATTCAAAAGTTTGTCTAATTCCAGAAATTTGAACTATTTTTTCAAGGTATTTATTTTTTTTCTTTTATATCATGTTTTAAATCAACAAACGATTTTCTTTCATCAAAAAAGTTTAATTAACCGTAATTAAACTATAAGATTGAGAGCTTTTTTGTTTAGTTAAAAGCAACAAGACGGAGTTTTTCATCAAAGAACTTGATTTACTTTGAATTGTGTTTAATAACTTTGTAAACTTAGTAAGTTTAAAAAAATATCAAATTCGTTACTCGTTAAAGTGTTATGCTTAATAAAGCTGTTTGTAAAAATTTTTTGCATGTTTGATATAGCTTTTGATTTAAAAACAAATCGTTTCAATAACTTTTTTATATTTGCTTTATTCTTTTCGACATTATTTGTTATTTTACTCATTTGATATTGTAATCACATGATATCATCAATTTTGAAAAAAAATTATAAAACAGCAAGATAAATTTAAAAAACAACAACAAAGGTATTAACTGTTTTTTGATTATAGTCTTTTTTCAGATTAAAGCAATGTCTTCAGCTGGTCCTTTAATAGTTTTATTTATAATCATTCTATGTTTTGCCGTTGGCGTAGGCGCTCTATTAGCAGGTTGTTATGGTAACAAGTGGATAACCAACGATGCAGGTTCAATTAATGAAGGATTATGGGAAACTTGCAATGTGGTATTTGTCAAAGTTTGTTCTAAAAGAGGTTCTCTGTTTAAGTTTGAAGATGCCGTCGGGAATGGTGTAGGTATAATAAAATTTATTTAATGTTTATTATTTGTGTATACTGTTATATCTATCATTAAAGAACTTATTAAAAACTTTTGAATTTTTAATTTACAAAAGCCATTAACATTTTATATGAAGCAAATGTATGATGGGCAAGGGGGTGGCTTCTGCAGAGAAATCTTAAGTAATAAATATTCTAATAAGAGAAATAAATAAAACAAAACTTTATTCCTCGAAATGCTTAAAAACAGTTTTTACTTTTGGATATTAGGAAATCTGAACAGCCCAGGTTTAGTGTGTTGAATGAATTTTATAAAAGTAAAGTTTGACTGCAAAAGAAGATACTCCAAGCAACCCAGTGGACACGGACGTAAAAAATACGTCTTTTAAACGTCTTATACATGTTTTGGACGTCTTTTAAACGTCTTTTGAACGTTTTGGACGTCTTTTAAACGTTCAAAAGACGCCTTTTTTTGGTCCGGTGCTCACTGGGAAAAGCTACATTTCATCGGACAAACCTAATTTTTTGATAGATAAACTACGTTTTTGAAACATGTTCTTAAAATCAATATGGCTAAAATATCAAAATAAATATAGTTAACATTACCTCACAGAGCTCTTTCGTTAATGTTAAAGGAGTTCTAATTTGTTTACATAAGACTAAAATTATAATAATAATAAAATGTTATGCTGTAAATAAAGTGACTAAATGTGCGAATGACTATAAGTTTATATGTACTTTGTTAAACATCGAAGCATCAAAGGGGATAATTATAGATGTTAATCAGCTCATTTTCAGAATTAACACAAACACTTTTGCTATAACTGCTTCGCTACCCGGTTATATACATAAAAAAGTTATCAACATTTTATAAATGTTGAAATCTAATCCTAATAATTTCTCAACGATTTAAGGTTTCCACTTGTTCGTTTATTTACAGGAATAAAAAAACGATAGAAAATTTTATACCGAGAGCATTTGTTAAGTTAATTAATGAAATTCTAATTTTCCTGCAGCAAAAATACGCATTGCGTAGTTTATACAACTTGTGCAACTATTTTTTATTTCTTTATTCCCTTTTCGAAAGCAAGTAAAAACTCACCTGTAAAAAATATTGTTATCAAGTTGCTTGAGGTTATAAAAGGGGAAGGAAAAACTCAGTTTTAAAAATCCTTTAGAAAATTTAACAACACTGTGCATAAGTTACTAAAAAAGTATGCAGCTTAAATCCATAAACTTTTTATGATTTGTGCTACGAGTAAATTCTAGTAGGTCATCGAACATTTCATTAAAAAAAGTTAAATACAAAATTTTGTGTTTAGAAAAAGATATTATCTTGTTGTTATTATTGAGCTCTGCACTCTCTGCATTTCTGGCTTTAATTTTTTCTATATCAATGACATGTTGTCTTAAACGCTTATCTGCTTGGAAATGTACGGCTGGAATTGCTTTTGTATTTGGAATTATTGCATGTAAGTATCAAACAAGTTAACAGTATATAATGATTCGAATAAAATATGTGTAAAATTCAAAACCAATTAACCCTACTTTCATACACACATACATACACACACATACATACAGATATATATATATATATATATATATATATATATATATATATATATATATATATATATATATATATATATATATATATATATATATATATATATATATATATATATATATATATATATAAATTATGTTAGTGTATTCTACAAATAGAGTGCTCAATGTTCTTATAGAACAGTGCAATAAAAAATATACCCCTCCCCTCCTCTCCATTTGAGGAGGTTGCAAATTTTATAAGGCCATAATTGTTGAGATTATTAAATTATGTTAGTATATTCTACAAATAGAGTGCTCAATGTTCTTAAAGAACAGAGCAATAATAATTTAGTAAAAATATTTATCTAATTTTTGTGCTCTTCAACATCATGTTTCACCATTAGTAGGTTCATCAGGAAGCTTCCTGATAAACCTACTGTTTTTACTAAATTATATATATATATATATATATATATATTATATATATATATATATATCCCGGTGGGAAATCGGCTAGCGAATAGCTAGCCGATTTCCCATAATTGATTTCCTATAATCGTAACGATAAAGACAGCGATTTAACCACGAGGATCGCTAGCTTTTTTAATTAAGCGAAAAGTTTTCGATATTTGTACAGATAAGACAGCTATTTGGCTATGAGGACAGCTAGCTTAATAAGAAAAAGACCCACTGGCTATTGTATCTAGTGTCTTATCGTAATAAAATTGTTGTCTAAAAAATTTTGATATGTAGCTATCAACCAGCTATAGATTTGTAGATATTTTGTAACCAGCTACAAAGCTACGATATTTAGCTAGCGACACATTGCTATAAAATTGCAATGTTTGAAGTTCAATTATCCTCATAATTATAATAGACTCAACACTAATAATCGAATTTTTAAAATGTTAAAGGTATTAGCAAAAAATAAACTAGGAAAAAAGAATCGCTTCAAAATCGCTATAAAGCTAGCTAGTCGCTCGCTAGTTGCTAGCTCATTTCTCACAGGAATATATATATATATATATATATATATATATATATATATATATATATATATATATATATATATATATATATATATATATATATATATATATATATATATATATATATATATATATATATATATATATATATATATATATATATATATATATATATATATATATATAGTATAAACCAGACCGGAAAGAGTTTAAAAACTCGAATAATATTTTTTGCCATAACCAAACCCTTAGTCAATGTAGCAGTAATCCGCTGCGAGTCAGGCTATAAGATAGTCGATGTAGCAACACTCCGCGCATGTTTTAAAAATATATTTTGATAAAACAAAGACAAAAACATTTAATTAAAAAAGACTCTAGTAATTATTATTGCGGTTTATTAAAAATCGATAAAATTTTAATGTACTTCCGCATTAATTTAATTGCTTTAATTAAATGTAGCTTAACTGTTTAGCTTAAGTCGCATAATTGCTGTCAAAAGTTTCGTTATGTATTCTGCTCGATGTTCTTAAAGAATTAAAAGCGAGGGTATGAAAGTAGATCATAAGATCTTTTCCTCAGAATCTTATAAAGTTTAAACAAACATAATAAAGACAAGTATAATATTAAAAAAAAATTGAAAATAAAGTACTGAAGTCCAAGTTATATAACAGTTTTCACAATGTTATAAGTATCTAAGTATATTATCAAGTAAAAGAATACATTTTTTTTAGATTGAGCTTAAAAAGGTATACTGAAATCAGTAGATCAAAATTCCGCAAAACAATATTAATCCATAGGTGGGGTCCACGGTAAGCAATGCAAAAATGGTGACAAAACGGCTTATTTAAAAAATTTATTTTTCTCATTTTGTATTTGTTGTTTCAGTTTGAAAGTATTATTAAAATAGGTGTGGGAAAGATTACTACTCCATAAAATATACAAATTATAAAACTTATAATACATATAATAGTTATAAAACTTTGAATACATTTAGTTCAAAAAAATTTAATAATCTCCTTTCAGCAAAAAAAAAAAAATTCTATGTGAAAAACAATCAGCATAGTTAATGATGCGGGTCGCATGGTTCTGACGACGATAAAAAAGTTTCAACTTTTTACTCCGTCAGTAGCATAATAATGTAATAAGTCTCTAAATTTTACTTTTTTTTACCAGCATTAAGGTTTTCATATTATGTTTACGATTATTACATAATTCTTTTATATCATCAAAAAACAAGATTTAATTGAACAGTTGTTAAGTTAAGTATTAATGGTTTCAAAGTTACTGATCCGATAGCAATCACAAATAATACCGAATATAACTTGTATTATAACTTAGTATATACTACGAATTATAACTTGTATTTTTAAGATCTTAACCGTTTTTACATTAACTATATCACTTATATTCTTTATATTTTTGTATCTCAAAAACAACAACAACAAAAACTCTATTTATACAAAATTTTCGTTCAATAACAAAAAAACACTATTGTTCAATTAGTCGCCACATAATTGTTATTTAGTTCGTTATAGCCATATTGGCGCTATTTACTGGTTGTATCGATCGTGGTATCGGAATGTTGTTTTTCTTTTATGCTAGATCAATTTTCTTCCAATCATTCTCCTCCTCTTTGATATACTCTAGTCTATCAAACATTTAATTATCAAACTCAAGAAGACACAATCTCGTAATTGGTCATATAAATTCTTTTTCGCCAATTTTGACTTTCACAACTCTTACACGTCCATCCTTACCTTCAAAGACTCCAGTAATTCTACCAAGTGGCCAATGTCCTCTAGATGTATCTGGAGAAATTACTAACACAATGTCATCCGTTTTTATTTCGCGTTTTTTCTGAGTCCATTTATATCTTTTAGATAAACATGGAAGCCATTCTCGCATCCACCGTTTCCGAAAATGACTTAGTAGTTCTTGCACTCGACGCCAGCGCTTTTTAGGATGATAGCCTTTAGATTGAACTGAGTCAGGTGCAAATTGTCCACCAACTTGCCCAATCAAAAAATGATTTGGAGTTAATGGAATATCATCTTTTATATTGGCACTCTGATATGTTAGTGGGCGAGAATTCAATAAACTCTCAGCACCTGTAAATGCTGTACAGAGTTCTTCATCTGTAATATCGGCTTTTTCAAGTATCCCAGTCATTGCACGTTTGACAGCTTTGACCATTATTTCAAATACACCGCCAAGATGAGGTCCTAGTGGAGCATTAAAGTGCCACTTGATTCCTTTATCAGCTGTAGAGTTAGTAATTTTATCCTTACCTAAGTCATTGACAATTTCGTTTAGTTCTCGACAACCTCCAACAAAATTTGTTCCATTGTCCGTTAAAACTTCTAATGGTAATCCTCTTCTATTCACCATTCGATAAAAGGCATTGAGGAATGAATTTTTATCTTGATTATAAGCCATCTCAAGATGTACTGCTCGTGATTTTCTCGGATTTCTTCTCGTCCTCGTATTACCCAATATCGTTCTGATAGTTTTGTTAATAATTGATTTGTTCCCATCACATGATTGGCTTCGTCATGGTTATGCTTAACAATCAATTTTGTTATTGTATGTCCTCTCGGCGAAATGATTTGATACTTGACATCGTAGGGTAAGTAATGGGCATTTTGCAATCGACTGCAAGGTTGCAACAATCCGTCTTTGTCAATTTGCGGATATAAAGAAATGGTTTTGCTTGATATTGATATCGGTTTTCCTTTTTGAATGTTGCTATATTCTTCTTTAAGGCTTTCTTTTTGAGCTTTAGATATGATTTCTTTTTCGCTTTCATGATATTCATCAGCTGCTATATCACTCTTTTTACAAAAGTTTGTTTCAAATCGACGATTTCTTATAAACCGATGGATCCAGCCGTTTATCCTGACAAGTTTTTTCCAACATGAGAACTTGTTTATATCAAGCAATTGCTTTGTTACTTCAGTGGATAATGCAAAATTCATTAATACTGGATTTTTCTTTACTTCAATTGAAGCCTCTTGTGTAACTTCAATGTGATTCTGTGGCCATTTTTCTTCTAAAGAATTAAGGAAACTTGGTCCATGCCACCATACATAATTGCTTTCTAATTCTTTAACTGTTGTACCTCTTGTTAGTAAATCAGCTACATTAGTTTTTGTTGGTATGTATCTCCTTTGTTTTAGTTCAGTCTTTGATTGAATGAATCCAACACGGTTGGCAACAAATGGTTTCAACTTTCGACTTTGATTTTTTATTCACCATAAAACATTAAGACTATCACACCATATAGTTACGTTCTTAGTTTCCAGCTTCAATGCCTTGACAATCTTCTCTGCAAGTCGTAAACCGAGGACAGCTCCAAGTAACTCAAGTCTTGGTATACTAATAGATTACAATGGACTTACTCGGGCCTTTGACATTATGATCATACAGGTCACTTCTCCTGTGTCATATAAACATTGTTGGTAAGCAACAACACCGTAAGCTTTACAAGATCCGTTAAAACATGGATTGACCTATTTGTTACTGTTGAGGTTGTTTGTAAACATCTGGGAATGTTTATTTTTGGGAGATCGTTTAGTTCTTGAAACCATTGATCAACATTATTTGCAATCCTATCCGGAACTGCATCATCCCACTCAATTCCATCAATCCACAGTTCTTGCATAGTTATTTTGATTCGAATGATATATGGTGCCAAAAAACCCAATGGATCAAACAACGTTGCCATTTTTTTAAGCGAAATTCGTTTTGTATATACCGTATTTTCTTCGGTTGTTACAGAATGAAAACTAAATAAATCAGGTTTTGCTTTCCAGACAACTCCAAGTGTTTTCATTGCAGGCAATTCTCCAGAATCTAAATTTATATGTTCTGCGCGATCATTTTCTGGTGTTATTTTAAGAACTTCGACCGAGTTTGAAAGCCACTTTCGTGCA